ATATGTAACGTGTTTCTTATACATGTATAATTTTGAAAAAAATATCATATGTGGATTAATGTCTATCTTTCTTTCTTTCAACACACCGGCTGTATCCCACCGAGGCGGGGTGGCCCAAAAGGAAAAACGAAAGTTTCTCCTTTTGCATTTAGTAATATATACAGGAGAAGAGGTTACTAGCCCCTTGCTCCCGGCATTTTAGTCGCCTCTTACAACACGCATGGCTTACGGAGGAAGAATTCTGTTCCACTTCCCCATGGAGGTAAGAGGAAATAAACAAGAAGAACTAGAAAGAAAATAGAAGAAAACCCAAAGGGGTGTGTATATATATGCTTGTACATGTATGTGTAGTGTGACCTAAGTGTAAGTAGAAGTAGCAAGACGTACCTGAAATCTTGCATGTGTATGAGACAGAAAAAAAAAAAAGACACCAGCAATCCTACCATCGTGTAAAACAGTTACAGGCTTCAGTTTTACATTCACTTGGCAGGACAGTAGTACCTCCCTGGGCGGTTGCTGTCTACCAACCTACTACCTAGGATTAATGTCTATATTAACATAAAATAAGACATTTAATATGGCAAAGAGTGTTTATTAAATATACATAGATAGACATAGACAGAGATATACACCACAGCACCGTATCATTCTTTGCAGATGATACTAGGATCTGCATGAGGCTGTCATCTGCTGAGGACGCGGTTAACCTCCAAGAAGATATAAACAGAGTTTTCCAGTGGGCAACGGTAAACAATATGATGTTCAATGAGGACAAATTCCAACTACTCCATTATGGAAAACTGGAGGAGATAATAACTAGAACAGAGTATACTACTGACTCCGGCCATACAATAGAGCAGAAAAATAATGTAAGGGACCTGGGAGTAGTAATGTCTGAGGATCTCACTTTCAAGGATCACAACAGTGCCACGATCGCACGTGCAAAGAAAATGATAGGATGGATAATGAGAACTTTCAAAACGAGAGATGCCAAGCCCATGATGATCCTTTTCAAATCACTTGTTCTCTCTAGGCTGGAATACTGCTGTACATTAACATCTCCATTCAAAGCAGGTGAAATCGCAGATCTAGAGAGTGTACAGAGATCCTTTACTGCACGTATAAGTTCTGTCAAGCACCTTAACTACTGGGAACGCTTGGAAGCACTTGACTTGTACTCGTTGGAACGCAGGAGGGAGAGATATATCATAATCTACACTTGGAAAATCTTGGAAGGAATGGTCCCAAATCTGCACACAGAAATCACTCCCTACGAAAGTAAAAGACTGGGCAGGCGATGCAAAAATGCCTCCAATAAAAAGTAGGGGCGCCATTGGTACACTAAGGGAAAACACCATAAGTGTCCGGGGCCCAAAGCTGTTCAACAGCCTCCCATCAAGCATTAGGGGAATTGCCAATAAACCCCTGGCTGCCTTCAAGAGAGAGCTGGACAGATACCTAAAGTCAGTGCCGGATCAGCCGGGCTGTGGCTCGTACGTTGGACTGCGTGCGGCCAGCAGTAACAGCCTAGTTGATCACGCCCTGATCCATCGGGAGGCCTGGTCATGGACCGGGCTGCGGGGGCGTTGATCCCCGGAATAACCTCCAGGTAACCTCCAGGTAACATCGCATATAATAAACATTGCATGTTTATATGCTATGTAACGTGTTTCTTGTATAATTTTGAAGAAGATATAATAGATGGATTAATGAAAATGTCTATATTAATGTAAAATAAGACATTTAATGTACCAGTGATTATTATTAAATATACATCGCATATAAACATTGCATGTTTTTATATACTATGTAACGTGTTTCTTTGGGCCCTTGGTTGCTTATTTTGCAGTTGCACTCAATCAATAACCACAAAAAACAATGGAATATAGCAAAATGTTTGGATGAATGAGCAGAAGCTTCCTCACTCGCCCAGACACAAAGTCAAACTGACTAGCAAGCGGCCCCAGCTGGAGGATGGACGCCTCCAAAACGGCCGATAACCAAGTGCCAAAAAACCGGCCAATAACCGGGCGCCAAAAAAATGGCCGATAACTGAACTGGCCAATAACTGGGGGTCCACTGTATTCTATGACATTTAAGTGTCCCAGAGCGATAAAATGCATATACAATTCACTCATTACTTACCTTAATATATTTGTAGTCTTAATGTAGGGTCAGAGTTGAGTAAACGACATAACACGAATGAATGAATGAATGTGAGTGTGAGAGAGTGAGAGAGTGTGAGAGAGTGCGAGTGTGTGTGTGTGTGTGTGTGTGTGTGTGTGAGAGAGAGAGAGAGAGAGAGAAAAAGAGAGAGAGAGAGAGAGAGAGAGAAAGAGAGAGAGAAAGAGAGAGAAAGAGAAAGAGAGAGAAAGAGAGAAAGAGAGAGAGAGAAGAGAGAGAAGAGAGAAGAGAGAGAGAGAGAGAGAGGAAAGAGAGAGAGAAAGAAAGAGGAAAGAAGAGAGAGAGAGAGAGAGAAAAAGAGAAGAGAGAGAGAGGAAAGAGAGAGAGAGAAAGAGAGAGAGAGAGAAAGGAGAGAGAGAAAAGAGAGAGAGAGAAGAGAGAAGAGAGAGAGAGAAAGAGGAGAGAGAGAAGAGAGAGAGAGAGAAAGAGAGAGAGAAAGAGAGAGAGAGAGAGAGAAAGAAAGAGAGAGAGAAAGAGAAGGGAAAGAGAGAGAGAAAGAGAGAGAAAAAGAGAGAGAGAAGAGAGAAAGAGAGAGAAAGAGAGAGAAAGAGAGAGAAAGAGAGAAAGAGAGAGAGAGAGAGAGAGAGAGAGAGAGAGAAAGAGAGAAAAAGAGAGAGAGAGAGGGGGGGGGGGCGCAGATTTTTGTAAACAAACCAGGTGAACACGTCTGGTTTGTGTACAAGTTACATTGTGTACAAGTTGTCTCTACGTTGATACGGTACAATAAATGAAGAGGAACACTCCCATTCTCATGTAACACCATTTTTAGAAGAAATGATGCTCTGAGTGAAGGCATACGAGGGAAATAATTTTCTACAGTTATGCCCAGTAACACATTTTCTCTTATGCTGCACTAGAGAAAACATTATTCTTGCCATCACTCGTACAAGTCATCTGACTACCACATCTCATATATATGTTTATTTATTCTACTGTGGGGTGTATTTATCATCTTTATATGTTATGTATCATGTTTATTATATGATTTTGACAAAATATCATAGACAGATTAATATATGTGTATATTAATGCAATATACAACATTTAATGAGACTCATTGATTATTATTGAGTATTATCATCATCATTACTAATATGGCATCTCGAGACATAAGACACTCTTACTAATTTTAACCCTTTGACTGTTTCGGTCGTATATATATGTCTTACGAGCCACCGTGTTTGACGTATATATACTCAAATTCTAGTGGCTTCAAATCAAGCAGGAGAAAGCTGGTAGGCCCACATGAGAGAATGGGTCTGTGTGCACCACATAAAAAAAATCCTGCAGCACGCAGTGCATAATATGAAAAAAAAACTCCGACCGTTTTTTTAATTAAAATGCCGAATTTGTGGTCTATTTTTGTATAGTATTTATGGTTGTATTCTTATTTTATAGGTCTCATTTGATAGAATGGAAAACATATTATAAAAATAGAGGTGATTTTGACTGGTTTTACTATGAAAAGAACCTTGAAATGGAGCTCAAAGTAGAGGAAATGTTTGATTTTTGCCGATGTTCAAAAGTAAACAAATGTCCAAGTAGCCATTCTAATATGCAGTCATGAATGGGTTGACGTTATTTATACAATTATTACAATATTGTAGTAGTCTGCATAACAGTAAATCTTTTATTTTTTGTTTGAATAAAAATTCAAAATAGAAAGCAAGAGTAATATCAGAGGGGCCTGGAGACATGACTGATGAACAAAGAAAATGTTATTTTAGAGCCATGAATGTCTGCATTGTTCATTCTGGACCCTATTTTGAAATTGTCATATTTTTTAATTTTCGTGAAATTGGCCAAATTGCAAATTTCTGACCACGTTATTGGGTAGTTGAAACCAGTAAATGGGCAGTTTCTTGTACTCAGTCGATAGAAAAAAATGGAGTTCTAAAGAAATAGCTATGAGTTTGGTCGACTGGAACAATGGAATTAGCTGAAAAAGCTCAAAGTGGGTGAAATTACCGATTCGTAAATATCGCTGTGGTCGCTAACTTCCCGAGAGCATAATTCCATCAGTTTTCCATAAAATTTCGTTCTTTTGGTGTCATTACAACTGGGAAAAGATTCTCTATTATTTCATAAGAATTTTTTTTTTTTTGGGTGGGGGTGGGGGGGGGAGGAATTTTGTGACACCAGGAGACACCTCAGGATTTGGGGTTGCGACAGTCAAGGGGTTAATGTGTACCTGCACACCAACACAGTGTGTAAGTTTATTTAGGTACAGGTATACATAAGTATAATTATCAGAGTATATATAAAATATGAAATAACTTTTAACCCCTTGACTGTCGCAACCCCCAATCCTGAGGCATCTCCTGGTGTCGCAAAATTTAAAAAAAAAAAAATTATTTTTTCTTATGAAATGATAGAGAATCTTTTCCTGATTGTAATGACACCAAAAAAACGAAATTTGATGGAAAACTGATGGAATTACACTCTCGCGAAGTTAGAGACCACGGCGATATTTACAAATCGCCAATTTCGCCCACTTTGAGCTCTATTTTCGGCTAATTCCATTGTTCCAGTCGACCAAACTCATAGCTATTTCTTTAGAACTCAGTTTTTTCTATCGATTGAGTACAAGAAACTGCCCATTTACCAATTTCAACTACCCAATAATGTGGTCAGAAATTTGCAATTTGGCCAATTTCACAAAAATTAAAAAAATATGACAATTTCAAAATAAGGTCTAGAATGAACAATGCAGACATTCCTGGCTCTAAAATAACATTTTCTTTGTTCATCAGTCATGTCTCCAGGCCCCTCTGATATTACTCTTGCTTTCTATTTTGAATTTTTATTAAAAAAAAAATAGAAGATTTACTATTATGCAGACTACTGCAATACTGTAATAATTGTGTAAATAACACCAACCCATTCATGACTGCATATTAGAATGGCTAGCTGGACATTTATTGGACAATGACATCATTTGTTTACTTTTGAACATCGGCAAAAATCGAACATTTCCCCTACTTTGAGCCCCATTTCCAGGTTCTTTTTATAGGAAAATCAATCAAAATCACCTCTATTTCTATAATATGTTTTCCATTCTATCAAATGAGACCAAGAAAACGAGAATACAACCATAAATACTATACGAAAATAGATCACAAAGTCGGCATTTTAATTAAAAAAAACGGTCAGTTTTTTTTTTTGTCATTATGCACTGCGTGCTCCATGATTTTTTTTATATGGTGCACACTGACCACACAGACCCATTCTCTCACATGTGGGCCTACCAGCTTTCTCCTCCTTGATTTGAAGCCGCTAGAATTTATGAGTATGTATGCGTCAAACACGGTACCTCGTAAGACGTATATATACGGCCGCGACAGTCAAAGGGTTAAAAACACTTGAAATTTTGGAGTTTGCAGACATAATGGAGAGATGTAGTGCTTACGGAGCTCACAGAGAATGTAAACAAACTGGGTGGGGCACGGTGACCATATTAGAGTCAGGTGGGGGGAGCCGTATAGAGAGTTTTGGTCATAATCTGAAATGATCATATTAGCAGAATGCTGTAAAGCGGGGCCCTACTGTACACACACACACACACACACACACACACGTGATACATTCTCTCACCAAATGCAGAAACAGCTCATCTAGTACATTACATGTACTTATGATTAGTGCTCAGTTAAAATACACATCCTGCAACGTTCCAACAAAACAATATGTACTGTACATAACGGAAACTTATAACAAAAGACTTGTAGCAGCGCCAGTGCTCACCTGCCTTAGGCCACACCAGTGTGCACCTGCCTCAGGCCACACCAGTGTGCACCTGCCTTGGGCCACACCAATGTGCACCTGCCTCACAATATTTTATTCACTGGCTGACCCAGCAGTACTTTGAGAAGTACCTGTATCAGAGCCAGGTGTGGTCACCTCAGAGTGAATACCCTCAGTGTTGGAGCCATTCTCTCTTCCTATTTCAGCCATAAATGGATGGCTGCTTCTGCTAGGTGTGTCATGGTCTTGCTCGTCGTCCTCATCGTCACTGTCATCATTAGATGCCCGAGGAGCTAAAGTCTGGTGCACAGCAAGCAACACCAGGGCTCCCGTCACGAAGTATGGCACCCGGTATATGTGTATACTTCCAAACAGCAGTGTTATACATGCCATGAAGTGTATTACCCATGAAACCACTTTGTAGTATTTCCTGAGTATGAAAAATAGCATGACTAATTATCAAGGCTGAAAAATGCATAATTAGTATGGTGTGCCAAGCAAATGCTATAATGCAGAAGAGTGAAACTTCTGTCAAGTTAAATTGGGACTTACACCCATCTTAGAAAAAAGAAAAAAAAAAAAAAGAGCACTATTTCTGTACTCTTACAAAATCCTTAAAAATATCAGTCTTTCTTAAAACTTGCAAAGGCTATCACCTGCTTTCCACTGAATGATGAATTAACTAGGTTCAGTGTGGTTGTAAAAATGAAGTCTCTAAAACATATTAAGAACTGACAAATGAAACCAAGCCTTACTTTGCCCTAACATTACCTAGGTAAGTTTTTTGGCTTTGCTTGACCTGGCCAAACCACAACCATAGAAAATGTCAAGAGAACAGCTGGACCAAAACAGTAAATTAATTGAAAAATGCCTCAGTCTGTGGAGAAATAAATTACAGAATTTCCAGAGCAGTGGTCTGTATAAATTAAGAAGTGAATGAAGGAAATACTTTCAGTGTATGTCAGTGGTTTATCCTTGTCTGAAACTATTATTCACATGAAGAGTGATATTAATTTATTCTGTTATCCATGGAGGCAAAGAAGGGAATGTACGAAAGTATAGTGGTACAAACACTCTTATGTGGGTGTGAAGCTTGGGCTGCAAATGCTGCAGTGAGGAGGCAGCTGGGGGCAGTGGAGATGTCTTGTCTAAAGGCAATGTGTGGTGTAAATATTATGCAGAGAATTCGGAGTGTGGAAATTAGGAGGAGGTGGTGTGGAGTTACTAAAAGTATTAGTCAGAGACCTGAAGAGGGGGTTGTTGAGGTGGTTTGGTCATTTAGAGAGAATGGATCAAAGTAGAATGACTTGGAGAGCGTATAAATCTGTAGGGGAAGGAAGGCAGTGTAGGGATCGTCCTCAAAAAGGTTGGAGGGAGGGGGTAAAGGTTTTGTGGGCGAGGGGCTTGGACTTCCAGCAAGCATGTGTAAATGAGTTAGACAGGAGTGGAGACAAATGGTTTTTGGGACCAGACGAGCTGTTGGAGCCTGAGCAGGGCAATATTTTGTGAAGGGATTCAGGGAAACCGGTTAGCTGGACTGGAGTCCTGGAAATGGGAAGTATAATGCCTGCACTTTAAAGTAGGGGTTTGGGATATTGACAGTTTGGAGGTTGACTTTTAAACTGTCTTATCTGAGCATCTCTGCAAAGACAGTGATTATGTATGAGTAAGGTGAAGGTGTTGAATGATGATGAAAGTATTTTCTTTTTGGGGATTTTCCTTCTTTTTGGGTCACCCTGCCTCGGTGGGAGACGACCAATGTGTTAAAAAAAAAAAAAAGCATTAGCTCATTCTCTTCATTATTAACCCACAGCTTGGAGATCAAACTTTAGAAGATATTTCTGTTTGTCTTAGACCATTATAAAATCATGACTGAGGGAAAAGAAGTAAGAAACATCAAAAGTCAGGTCAGGTGAAGAGAGAGAAAACCAGAAGATATGTCAGGTGAAGAGAATATCAGAAGACTGGTCAAGAGAAGAGTTGAGGAGAAAGCCAAGGTTAGGTAGTCTACTCTGATGACTGGAGTGTATTTAACAATGTATTGTACTTGGAAATGCAACCATCAACAGAAACAAAACTGAAGCTAATATTCATGTTAGGAATATTGTGTATAACTGATTCAACAAGACAGCATCTGTGAAAGTTAGAAAAGGAATAGTTTATTATTACACTGTTATACAGCTAGGAAGCATTTACCAAGAAAGGTACAAAAAGAAATATAAGCAAAACAAAATGAGAGAAAATACATAAAAAAATACAATACAGGAATTTACTGAGAAGAGGAAATGCAAGTATACTTGATAAAAGCTATGAAGGAAATATTTTTTTAACTTTAAACTGGTAGTGATGTGATTTTATGGTGCAGGCAACAATCTCATTCTTGGAATTATTATATAAAGTGCATGACTAACTGCCTATGCAGGAGGAAGTCTTGGGTAACACATACCCTCATTTCAACTCCTAAACAAATTCATCTGTACCTTAGAACCACAAATGGGATCACTTGCCAATGAAGATGTGCCACCTTACAAAACAAGTACAATTAGAGCAATTCTGGATTATTTGTCGATAACAGTGATAGTAAAACATACATTATGGACTGACAAGGAAGTGCTAAAAAAAGCAAGTAGACCCAGCTCAAGTATGCCTGAGAGATACCCCTTGCAACCACGGATAAACAAATATAATTACAGTTTGGAATATTTACTGTTTAGAGTGCCACAAACTATTGTATCTGCATGCCACTGGCAAGACAGTGATAATGTGAATGATGGTAAAAGTGTTTATTTTTTTGGGTCACCCTGCCTCAGTGGGAGACAGACAGCATTAAAAAAAAAAATACAGTACAGTGGACCCTCGACCAACGATATTAATCCGTTCCTGAGAGCTCATCGTTAGTCGAAATTATCGTTAGTCGAGTTAATTTTCCCCATAAGAAATAATGGAAATCAAATTAATCCGTTCCTGACACCCCAAAGTATTAAAAAAAAATTTTACCATATGAAATATTAATTTTAATACACACAAACTGAAGAAGACATGTACAATTACATGACACTTACCTTTATTGAAGATCTGGTGATGATTGATGGGATGGGAGGAGGGGAGAGTGTGGATGGTGTTAGTGTTTAGAAGGGGAATCCCCTTCCATTAGGACTTGAGGTGTCAAGTCCTTTTCCGGGGTTACTTCCCTTCTTCTTTTAATGCCACTAGGACCAGCTTGAGAGTCACTGGACCTCTGTCGCACAACAAATCTGTCCATAGAGCTCTGTACCTCAGGTTCCTTTATGGTTTGTCTAAAATGGGCCACAACATTGTCATTGTAATAGTCACCAGCATGGCTTGCAATAGCTGTGTTAGGGTGATTTTCATCCATAAAGGTTTGCAGTTCAACCCACTTTGCACACATTCCCTTAATCTTTGAAGTAGGCACAATGGATTCCACAACTGGCATAGGCATCTCAGGGTTAGCCCCAAACCCTTCAAAATCTTTTTTAATTTCCATACTAATTCTCACCCTTTTTATCACAGGGATGGCACTAGAAGCTTTCTTGGGGCCCATGGTGACTTATTTTGCAGTTGCAATCACTAAAAACGCTGTGATAATATGAAATGTTCCGATTGTATGTTTGGATGCGACCGGGGTGGCTGGCTTGTAAACATTGCGCAGGCCACACGTGGACGCATCTCGAACGGAACGAATCGCGTTGGTCGAGTTTTTTAGCGCTAGTCAAGGCAAAACTTTTGCGTTAAAATGTATCGCTAGACGGATTTAACGGTATACGATGCCGTCGTTGGTCGAGGGTCCACTGTAGTTAAGTAGATAGCTTTCATGAGAGAGGTGATGGGGAATACAAACTTGCAAAATAAATACTCAAGACCCTGTGAATAGTACTGATAGATAGTAATCAAATGTATTCACATTTCTGAAAGATTACCAGATCACAAAATATGATCAGAACAAGGCTTCTTTGGACTGCAAAAACTTCAATTCATGTAAGAGTAAAGTACTAAAATTTTATATTTCCATTTTCTTTATAATATTAAAAGAGTATTTAATTAATATTAAAATAAGTATTTACTTTTAGGGACTAGTAGGTTCCCCAAACATACCAGTTTAAGATAATTAGAAACATCAATAGATGTAACATGGGTTGAAAAATAAATGGGGAATACAATATGTAGTATTACCTGTCGGTCTTTGGGAGCTTCTTCTGCCACAGGAAACAAAGAGTGACTAGCAAGGTGACTGTTACTGACAGTGTTGGGTCTTCCGTAAGTGGTAGATTGTTACTGTAAATACATGTCTTAATTAGTGTTAACTTTGTCAGATATGTTAATTTAATAAGATTAAATTTTCACAGCCTAGTCTTAATGCTAATCTATGTACTACCCTGCCTTCTTATAATTATCATTCATCTAGTTTTCTGACTCAAAACAGGAATACAAAGACTAACAAATAATGATCCAGTATATCTCACCTTACTAATCTGCTCCAAATAATGAGAGTAGGCATATTAAGGATGACCACAACAAACACCAACATCATGATGGTCATGTTGAAGTGAACCCTTGACAGAGCTCGATCAGTAGAACTTTCACCACCTGATGTACCAGGTATTAGTCCCAATAAAATTCTCTCTATGTAATCTTCATATAACTTGAAAACCTATTAATAAAATAGAATTGTTGAAAAGTACTATGTACCACTACTTCTCTCATTAGTATACACATGAACACAGTCACTCCTCTCACTCGCACAAAATACATCTAGAAAACATTAAGCACGAGAAGTTTTTCCAGAGTTTCAGAGAATATGGTCATTACTGTATTAACCAAGTTAGTAAGTAAAATTATAGGTAGTAGGTTGGTAGACAGCAACCACCCAGGGAGGTACTACCGTCCTGCCAAGTGAGTGTAAAACGAAGCCTGTGATTGTTTTACATGATGGTAGGATTGCTGATGTCTTTTGTCTGTCTCATAAATATGCAAGATTACAGGTACGTCTTGCTACTTCTACTTACACTTAGGTCACACTACACATACATGTACACATTTATTTATACACACTCATCTGAGTTTTCTTTGATTTTATCTTAATAGTTCTTGGTCTTATTAATTTTCCTTTTATATCCATGGGGAAGTGGAATAAGAATCTTTCCTCCGTAAGCCATGCGTGTTGTAAAAGTCAACTAAAATGCCGGGAACAATGGGCTAGTAACCCCTTTTCCTGTAAAGATTACTAAAAAGAATAAGAAGAAGAAAATTGTCAAAGTGGGAAGTCTGAATGTGTGTGGATGTTGTGCAGATGATAAGAAAGAGATGATTGTGGATGTTATGAATGAGAAGAAGCTGGATGTCCTGGCTTTAAGTGAAACAAAGCTGAAGGGGGTGGGAGAGTTTCAGTGGAGAGGAATAAATGGGATTAGGTCAGGGTTTCAATAGAGTTAGAGCTAAAGAAGGAGTAGCAATAATGTTGAAGGATAAGCTATGGCAGGAAAAGAGGGACTATAAATGTATTAATTCAAGGATTATGTGGAGTAAAATAAAGATTGGATGTGAAAAGTGGGTTATAATAAGCGTGTATGCACCTGGAGAAGAGAGAAGTTGTAGAGGAGAGAGAGAGATTTTGGGAAATGTTGAGTGAATGCGTAGGGAGTTTTGAATCAAGTGTGAGAGTAATGGTGGTTGGGGATTTCAATGCTAAAGTGGGTAAAAATGTTATGGAAGGAGTAGTAGGTAAATTTGGGGTGCCAGGGGTAAATGTAAATGGGGAGCCTTTAATTGAGCTATGTGTAGAAAGAAATTTGGTAATAAGTAATACATATTTTATGAAAAAGAGGATAAATAAATATACAAGGTATGATGTAGCACGTAATGAAAGTAGTTTATTAGATTATTATTGGTGGATAAAAGGTTGATGGGTAGGCTCCAGGATGTACATGTTTATAGAGGGGCAACTGATATATCGGATCATTATTTAGTTGTAGCTACAGTTAGAGTAAGAGGTAGATGGGAAAAGAGGAAGGTGGCAACAACAAGTAAGAGGGAGGTGAAAGTGTATAAACTAAGGGAGGAGGAAGTTCGGGTGAGATATAAGCGACTATTGGCAGAAAGGTGGGCTAGTGCAAAGATGTAGTAGTGGGGGGGTTGAAGAGGGTTGGAATAGTTTTAAAAATGCAGTATTAGATATGTGGGGCAGAAGTTTGTGGTTATAGGAGGGTGGGGGGCAGGAGGAAAGAGGAGTGATTGGTGGAATGATGAAGTAAAGGGTGTGATAAAAGAGAAAAAGGTAGCTTATGAGAGGTTTTTACAAAGCAGAAAGTGTTATAAGAGAGCAGAGTATATGGAGAGTAAAAGAAAGGTAAAGAGAGTGGTGAGAGAGTGCAAAAGGAGAGCAGATGATAGAGTGGGAGAGGCACTGTCAAGAAATTTTAATGAAAATAAGAAAAAATTTTGGAGTGAGTTAACAGTTAGAGAAAGCCTAGGGAAAATATGGATTTGTCAGTTAAAACAGAGTAGGGGAGTTAGTAGATGGGAGATGGAGGTATTGGGTAGATGGCGAGAATATTTTGAGGAACTTTTAAATGTTAAGGAAGAAACAGAGGCAGTAATTTCATGCACTGGTCAGGGAGGTATACCATCTTTTAGGAGTGAAGAAGAGCAGAATGTAAGTGTGGGGGAGGTACGTGAGGCATTACGTAAAATGAAGGGGGTAAAGCAGCTGGAACTGATGGGATCATGACAGAAATGTTAAAAGCAGGGGGGGATATAGTGTTGGAGTGGTTGGTACTTTTGTTTAATAAATGTATGAAGAGGGGAAGGTACCTAGGGATTGGCAGAGAGCATGTATAGTCCCTTTATATAAAGGAAAGGGGACAAAAGAGACTGTAAAAATTATAGAGGAATAAGCTTACTGAGTATACCAGGAAAAGTGTACGGTAGGGTTATAATTGAAAGAATTAGAGGTAAGACAGAATTGTAGGATTGCGGATGAGCAAGGAGGTTTTAGAGTGGGTAGGGGATGTGTAGATCAGGTGTTTACATTGAAGCATATATGTGAACAGTATTTAGATAAAGATAGGGAAGTTTTTATTGCATTTATGGATTTAGAAAAGGCATATGATAGAGTGGATAGAGGAGCAATGTGGCAGATGTTGCAAGTATATGGAATAGGTGGTAAGTTATTAAATGCTGTAAAGAGTTTTTATGAGGATAGTGAGGCTCAGGTTAGGGTGTGTAGAAGAGAGGGAGACTACTTCCCGGTAAAAGTAGGTCTTAGACAGGGATGTGTAATGTCACCATGGTTGTTTAATATATTTATAGATGGGGTTGTAAAGGAAGTAAATGCTAGGGTGTTTGGGAGAGGGGTGGGATTAAATTATGGGGAATCAAATTCAAAATGGGAATTGACACAGTTACTTTTTGCTGATGATACTGTGCTTATGGGAGATTCTAAAGAAAAATTGCAAAGGTTAGTGGATGAGTTTGGGAATGTGTGTAAAGGTAGAAAGTTGAAAGTGAACATAGAAAAGAGTAAGGTGATGAGGGTGTCAAATGATTTAGATAAGAAAAATTGGATATCAAATTGGGGAGGAGGAGTATGGAAGAAGTGAATGTTTTCAAATACTTGGGAGTTGACGTGTCGGCGGATGGATTTATGAAGGATGAGGTTAATCATAGAATTGATGAGGGAAAAAAGGTGAGTGGTGCGTTGAGGTATATGTGGAGTCAAAAAACGTTATCTATGGAGGCAAAGAAGGAATGTATGAAAGTATAGTAGTACCAACACTCTTATATGGGTGTGAAGCTTGGGTGGTAAATGCAGCAGCGAGGAGACGGTTGGAGGCAGTGGGAGATGTCCTGTTTAAGGGCAATGTGTGGTGTAAATATTATGCAGAAAATTCGGAGTGTGGAAATTAGGAAAAGGTGTGGAGTTAATAAAAGTATTAGTCAGAGGGCAGAAGAGGGGTTGTTGAGATCGTTCGGTCATTTAGAGAGAATGGATCAAAGTAGAATGACATGGAAAGCATATAAATCTATAGGGGAAGGAAGGCGGGGTAGGGGTCGTCCTCGAAAGGGTTGAAGAGAGGGGGTAAAGGAGGTTTTGTGGGAAAGGGGCTTGGACTTCCAGCAAGCGTGCGTGAGCGTGTTAGATAGGAGTGAATGGAGACGAATGGTACTTGGGACCTGTCGATCTGTTGGAGTGTGAGCAGGGTAATATTTAGTGAAGGGATTCAGGGAAACCGGTTTTCATATAGTCTGACTTGAGTCCTGGAAATGGGAAGTACAATGCCTGCACTTTAAAGGAGGGGTTTGGGATATTGGCAGTTTGGAGGGATATGTTGTGTATCTTTATACGTGTATGCTTCTAAACTGTTGTATTCTGAGCACCTCTGCAAAAACAGTGATAATGTATGAGTGTGGTGAAAGTGTTGAATGATGATGAAAGAATTTTCTTTTTGGGGATTTTCTTTCTTTTTTGGGTCACCCTGCCTCGGTGGGAGACGGCCGACTTGTCGAGAGAGAAAAAAAAAAAAAATATCAATCTGCTGCTAACCACATTATAATTTTTATTCAATTCATTAGTAGTACATATTCAAAACTATAAGTATAATTCACTTCAAGTCATAGGCAATTTTGACCAAAGAGGAAATCTTTCTGCTGTTTAGGTGAATACATAGGTTATTGGAATCTTGTCAGAATTAAAAGCCATTCAAACCACTAAGAGTTAGCAACTACTGCTGGCCATAATGCATAAAAAACTATTAGGTCTTTCACTTTTATTCACAGTCCATCTTTATTATGTACTGCCTGAAGGATTTTGTGCAGTGTGATCTACCACTAAACTAAGGAGCATCATATCATAAATCTTAATAAGCAACATATTATCAGCAATTTTTATTTTAACCCTTTGACTGTTGCAAGCCCCTTTCTGAAACTGTCATTCTATGTTGCAAAAAAAAAAAAAAAAAAAAAAAAAAAAAAAAAAAAAAAAAATTTCTTATGAAATGATAGAGAATCTTGTCCCGATGGTAATGACACCAAAAGTACGAAATTTGGTCAAAAACTCACGGAATTACGCTCCCGCAAAGTTAGTGGTCTCGGTGACATATACGCATCGGCGATTTCACCGACTTTGAGCCCTGTTTTTGGCCAATTCCGTTGTTCCAGTTGACCAAACTATTTCTTTAGAACTCCGTGTTTTCTATCAGTTGAGTACAAGAAACCGCCCATTTACCGATTTGAACTACCCAATAAGGTGGTCAGAAATTGGCAATTTGGCCAATTTCACGCAAATTAAAAAAGATGCCAATTTCAAAATAGGGTCCAGAATAAACAATGTAGACATTCTTGGCACTAAAATAACATGTCCTCTGTTCATTAGTCACGTCTCTAGGTCCCTCTTATATTACTATTGCTTTCTATTTTGATTTTTTATTCATACAAAAAATACAAAATTTACTATTATGCAGACTACTGCATTATTGTAAAAATGGTATAAATAATATCAGTGCACTAATGAAAGAATGTTAGACTCCCCAGTTGATGTGTATTGGACGTGTGGTGTGATCTGCTTACTCCTGAACATTGGTAAAAATTGAACATTTCCGCTACTTTGAGCTCAATTTCAAGGTCGTTTTCCTTACGAAACTAATCAAAATCATT